GACCTCTGCCGACCAATAGGGTCCCCTCTTTGTACTATTTTAAGATATCAATTTTTGGGTTACGGACCCTAAAATTTTCAAAAGGCGACTTCAGCGCCAATATATACTAATTTCGAGGGGGGAGCGCGCGCCGAAAAAAATGTGATTTTTCGGTAACCCAAAAAATCCCTTTTTCTGGGTTCCAGCAGTTGTTGTTTAAAGATTTTCTATAGCGAGCAGTGCAGTCTAGGTGGTTCGATTGTTAATAACGGGAAATAGGACATTGGCAACGGCAGTTATAGTTGTTCCTTTTCGCTGATTTTTCAAAGACATTTCTTACATAATGTTTTTCAGAAAAGCCATTTTTGTGCTCGCAACATGGTATAGGCGGTCATCATTTTCTGATACTTCTGTTGCGCGACACTGTGTTTGATATTTCATGCAGACTTGTTTCAGTAAATTACACATGATTCTGTAAATTACTAAATGTCACACACACTGTTAAATCATACAATACTTAGTTTAAAAAGTTGATTTTCAGGACACCCAGAATTTTTGTTGGGTAAAATGTCGGGAGCTAAATCCTGCAATTTAAAACTTGCAATCTTGCAAATTTTAAATGAAGGACTAAGAGAACTTATTTAGTTCCCATCAAGGACGCCCCCTCTCAGGGTTTCGACCCCCTGCCGACCCAAAGGGTCCCCCCTTGTACTATTTTGAGATGTCCATATTTAATGACGGACCCTAAAAAATTACTAAAGGCGCCTTAGGCGCCAATATAAACTAATTTCGAGGGAAGAGCGTGCGCCGAAAAAGTGTGATTTATCGGTCGAAATTTTCCAAAAGGTGCCCAAAAACGCTTTTTTGGCCTGTTTTTTGAAAAAGTTGCCTGCGGCGCACACAATTTGGTCAATATAGGTCAATATGGTCAGACAATTTTTTTGTCTTTATAGTGATTTGGGAGAGCTCAGAAAATCAATTTGGTCTACCTAAAAAAAGGTCGAAAAAAATTTCAAATTTTTTTTTTAAATCCGGCCCCCTCGATAAATTCCTAGATTCGCACCTGCTTGAACGTGAACCAATGAAAAACGAAACTGTGAATTACTTAAAATACAAAAAGTTCCTAAAAAACGCAAACTTTCCAAACAATGCCTAAAACGCGCTTTTCGGCCTGTTTTTCAAAAATTTGTCTGCGGCGCAGAAAATTTGGTCAAAAAAGGGTCTTTATAGTGATCTGTGAATGCTCAGAAAATCAGTTGTATTGATCTAAAAAAGGTCGACAAAATTTTCGAAAATTTTTGAAAAACCGCCCCCCCCCCCCTCGAGAAAATCCTAGATAGATCCACCCCTGTTCATAACCATGTTTTTCAACACGTAAGCAGCAAGAAATTGCACCAACTTTTTTTGGTCTAAGCAATATCTGTGTTTCTAACACGTAGTAAAATTGGGAGGAACTTCGAACTGACTTATTTTTTCAAGCAGAATTACACACGTTAGTTAAAATCCAAGCTGGTTAAGGGATTTTCCATTTCGAGGCCATTTAGTCGTAGTTTGAGCTGCAATAAAAAGATACATTTTACTGCGGTGCCAAGAAAAAATTGTAATTTTCGCTTTTGTATTGTAATTATGAAAAATCGTCAGACGCCATGCGCCATAAAATAGTTTTATTATCTTATGCGTCCATAACCAATAAGATACCACTGGGTAAAATCGCGGGCTTGACCATTTCAATATTCGATTTTTTATAGTATGAAGTCTCGTTTTTCCAACCTAAGTCGCAAATATTAATGTTCATTTTGAAAGTGTTCATTTTGATGAAAAACCAGCTATTGATAACAACCAATGTTACGGATATTGACACAGACTATTATATAACAAATAGCACTTTAGCTTTAAAATATCATGGATCTGTAGCGTAGAGGTAGGGAAGGAGACCCGAAATAAAATAAAAGGGTTCATACCTGGGCAGGGTCGGATTTTTTAATGAACTTTTTCGTATACTATACTTCCGCTCTATAAGTTGAGGAAGGTTAGTTGGTAAATTTCTTTTTTTTTCAAATTGACTGGTACTGCTCATAATTGGCGTGCATCCTTTAAGAAATTTTGTTGACTCAAAGTTTTACTCATTCAGTTTTTCCCAGTAGCGTTATCGGTCTTATTTTTGCTTGTGTATGCAAAGTGCAACTTCGCCTCCGAGTAAACTATGGTTTGCCTTTTCGGTGGAGTTTTCCATTCAAAATACATGTTTTGTTTGTGAGAAGTAGTGGTATTTTTTCAAAGCACCGTGATTAGGTTACGAATGGAAAATGTAATATTTTTGAAGTTTTGAATTTCCACTCAATTTCTCAGTCGACTAAGTTATTTTCATTTGTCTGCTCTAAATGATTTTTGCTCAGATGATTAAGTTTCATTATGGAGCAGATAAGCAATGTTGAGATGAGAACAAGTATCGTGATGTAAGTTGTTGCTTATCTGGTATGGAACACACGTCAAAAACTCAAACAAAACGAGAACTTTTTTCAATTTGTTTTCTTTGATTGTTCCAGGAAAGATATTGCACTAGTTTTTCAAATATTACACCAGATTTACAAATATGGCACGTAAACAGATTGCAAACTTGTGTTTCATCTTATCATTCATACCTCTGAACAAGCCAAATCGAAAAAAAAACTATAATGCATTCTTTCCAGAAAAAAATTGTAATACTTATAATCAAAAAACTGCTTTGGCGAATCTTGATATACACAAACCGCAGAAGAATTACAATTTTTTTGTTCTGAAAAGATTCCATGCTTGCAATAATTTATTAGTTTTCTACTGAACTATAATTTATCAAACAATTTCGAGCTTGAAAGTATAGTACAGATCCATTGTCGTCCAATTGTTGTAGTCGTGTCTATTCAGGGAAGGAAACTGCTTGCATTTGAGATTCTATCCTTTTTTTCCGACCTTAATCGTTTTAGATTTCGGTAAAGAGACCTCGCAGAGCACTTTTATGCTTTTGTAGTCGTCGCACTTGGTGTCCCAAACAACGTTGCCGTGGCTCGTTACGCAGTTCTCTTTGTTCCCTAGGAAATTGGGGTCTTTTTTGCCCCAGAAACTTTTGGTGATGGGAGTGAAGTCTGAGAAGCTAACGTAGCTCGTCTGAAATGAAAGCATTTTTTTTACTTCAAGTCAGCTACTTTTAAAAGAAAGTCAAACTTTCGATTTCAAATAGGAATATCTCAAAAGGGAGGTAATAACGTGTTTTTAAAAATAACTAAAATAAGAAGACTGATTGATATTGTCGTTCGAATTTTGCTTGATTTTGTAAGCAAACACCACTAGGCAGCCTTTGAATTCTTTGTGATCATCTCCCAATAGAAGTTTGTATTTGTAGTTGCATTAAGCATTTTTAGGCTATGGTATCTTTCTGAAAAAAATGTCATCATGATTTTTACCTTGCTGGACAAATGTCGGTACTTCTGGTCCCCCTTGGACAGATAGCCGTCAATAGCAATGGTTGTTTTGACCCTGACGTAGCCCATCCAGAAATCCTGTTTGCCTTTTGGCTCATTTCCCATGTAGACTTCCCTCAATGAGCGTAACTCTGCGAGTGAAGTCGGCTCCACTACCTTGCCCTTCCTGTTAAAAGTCAAGGAAAATATCACGGAAACAAATGTTACTCAATAAAATTAAGTGCTTCTGATACGCTTGAGTATCATTTTCTCATTAATTTTGATTTTTTCAAAATGAGTTTTCAAAAGTAGCAAATATTTGTGGTATTCAATGCTGCAAGAAAACTTAATATCAGTTGCCAAGAGTGCATTGTCAGGTACACTTTAGATCTAATATAGCGCATAAATCGATCTTCTGAACTTATGATATGATCCGTAGAGACTGAAACATAATACTCACATGGTGTTTTCGCAGAATAGTTTAGCCTTGAAGAAGTTCTTGAAGGTGTCATGAGACAAATGGTAGCACTTGTCGGTTATGTTCTCAGCCTTGCAGAAGTATTGGGGACACTTGGTGTGTGGACCACAATCGGGACAGGCCGAAGTAGCCACTCCCAAACAGAGCAGCACTCCTAACGTTGACACAAGCAACATGTTCACTTTTGATGCTCAAATATTGCTTTAATTTTGGCAAAAAAGAGCCCTAAAATTTGCTATATTACAATTGACTCGGTAGTAAAATTTGAAAGATTCAAAAACTTTATGCCAAGTATGAAAATTGGTATAACCTTTTATAAGGAGACAAATGTCCCGAAAATCTGCGAGTTGAAAAAATAGGAACAAAACAAATGTCAAATTTGATGTACAACATGTGCACCTAGCTTATATTTTTTCGTGTTCATCTATCAAAAACACTAGTTTAGTCACCGTGATCTACTGTAAGTGGGTTATCTGTGAGAAAC